GACTTCACCCAATCCTGTGGTACATATAAAAACACATAAAAATATATGTACCAAAACTCCTACTCTGTATGCCTTTGGGATGCATTAGGATCTACTAATTGCAACATCTGAGTTAACAATGGCTATTTTCAGTTTTGTGGCTGAACCAAAAAATAAAATAAAAAAGACCCATTTTGAGCTGACCTAAAGTAAAAGCTTTTTGACGGTCTTTGAAAAGAAAAGAAAAAGATTTCAACCCAAACATTTTGTGTGACCTAAACTGAAACATTTGAAAGCCTTTTTTGGCAGCTTTTTAAATGTAATCTTAGTTTGGGAATGGAAAATTGAGAAAGTTCATTTAGAAGAAGTTCAGACAAATGGTTTAGCTATGTCTTATTGCTCTTTGCCAGATTTGACTGAATTCACATATGGTTCCAGCTCTGCTGAAATTGAACTTTTTGGCAAATATTTGTCCTTTTTCTTGGGATTAGCACCTTCACTTAAAACAAATGCCAAATCTCTTCTGCATTCAAGTCCCCGCGTTCCCTAGTCTGGCTGATCTGCTGACTCATTCCTTTAGCTGATCAGTTTATTCTTTCAAAATTGAGAACCGTAGCTCTGCACCACCTCTTCTTTGGCTTTCCATTTCATTGCAACCAAATCAGTTGCTCAGTTCATTTTTTTTTCCTACTACTTGCAACCGTTCCCTTGAATTTGGAGTGGAGTTTCAATGAATCATACCTGTCTCATGAGTTAGTTATAATTAACAACTAACGTGATCTGGCTGCTCTGTCAACGGACATGAACTTTCAATTCAGATTCCACCCCCACACCAAAAAGAAAATGAAATAATAGAAAATGAAAGCCAGCCTGTTATTTACACTTCTCCATCCTCCTTTCCTTGTGGAAGTAGAGGCGCCTTTTGTTCTACCCTTAGTCCCCACCTCTTCGCCATCAGCCTCATCTCAACCCAACAAGACACTCTAAGGAGCAGAGCGCCAACGGTCCTGGGATTTCCAAAGCCATGGGTCCATGGCTGGAAATGTTTGCAAAGCCTTGGCCACCTGGGAAGCTAATCTCTCTCCATGGTGCGTGCAAAGCTGTTTCATTCATTTGGCTGGAGGAAAGAGAGTAACCACAGATGTGGAGAGAGTACCCCAGACACATCTATAAGCAAGCCAAAAAATGGCAACAGTTGGTGGGGAATCCCTGCATCTTTCCCTGCCCCACCTTTCGAATGAGCTGTTCTCCCTGGACGTCTCCCTCTTTTCTGTGTTTGTTTTGGCTGGTTTGCTCTGCAACAAATCAAACCTGGCTGGGAAGATGAAGCATGCGGCTGAAGCTGTCGTTTTGTGTAGGAAATCGCAGCAAGGGAAGTTGGCAGGTTCTCTGCTGCGCTCACCCTTCACCTGTGCTAGTGCATACAACCTCCCAGGTACCGACTTATCACTAGGTCTGACTTGAAACATTGGTAGAGAGGGTTGTCTATGCAAAGAGTCTATGCAAGGACAACCCATACAAAGGACAGGGGTGTTGTATGGATCCAACACAGCTCTTTGCACAGGTGTCAATGAATTCATCTCTCATGCAAGCACAGTATCAGTCACGGTGCCCCTGTACATACTCAGCTCTCCCCATCTCCCTGTGCTACCCAGGTCTCAATCACCCCACCAACAAGGCCAGACTGCATGTGCCATACACAGATGGGCCTGTGTTATCCATTTTCATCCCAATGTGCCAACCTGTTCCAGTCGCTGCCCATGCTACAAGTGAAAGAGGAAGCAAACAAGCAGACAGTTCAAACAAATAATCCATGAAATGCAGCTTTGAAATGTCAGTCTGAATGTCACTGCAGGAACTGGGACCACAATAAACAAGAGAGATGGTTTTAAATACAAAATGTATGTGTGGGCTGAAGAGAAATGGAAATATCATTAAAAATCCCTTTCACCAATAGTTTTTTTCCTCTTTCCACAGACTTATCCTTCCCTCCATAGTGCAGGGTATGGGCATAATCAAATCCAGGAGCACCTCCCTTATGTGAATCTCTCATTTGTGTTCGAGGATGTCCTCCACCAAGGAGAAACAGCAAAGACACTGTTGTAGCAACCTCGGGTGTCTGTAATCCCAAATCTCACCATGACAGCAGAAGGCACTGGGAGGGTTTAGTCTGATGAGCCAACCTCACAGAGACTCGGATTCAGCACGCCAGAGTCCTCTGATGTTCTGACGCTAATTGAAACCATTCAGATTTTGGAGGTCTCTGAACTTCCGCTGGAAAACTTGTATGCACAGGGTTTCTGCTACCACTCATCCCAGGAATTCATCCAGAACAGCATCTAATGTAGTACATAAACTGGAGTGTGTGCATTCCTG